CACTACTCAGCCATAAAAAAAATGGTGATCTAGTATCTTTTGTAATAAGCTGGATGCAACTGGGGGCCATTCTTCTCAGTGAAGCGTCGCAAGAATGGAAAAACAAACACCACATGTACTCAATACTAAATTAGAACTAATCAATCAACACTTACATGTACATCTGGAAGTAAAACTCAAGGGAAATTAGGTAGTTGGGAGGGGAGAGGAGGGGATGGGTAAATTCACACCTAACAGGTACAATGCATACTAACTGGGTGAAGGGTATAGTTATAACTTTGAATCAAACTGCACAAAAGCAAATTATGTAACCAAAACATGTGTACCTCTATAAAATTCTGAAATATAATTAGTTAATTAATTAAAAAGATGGGAGTCTTGCTATGCTGCCCAGGCTGGTCTCAAACTCTTGGCTTCAAGCCATCCTCCCCTCTCAGTCTCCCAGTACTGGGATTACAGGCATGAGCCACGGTGTCCAGCCGACAAGGTATTTTAAACTATGAAATATGATTCATAAATGGGTCACTACTAACGGTTTACTTTTCAACGAAATAGAATAGAAAATAACAATGTCAATTAGCCCAGAGCCCAACCAACCTTCTAAACATAAATGCAGATTTAGTTAAATGTCTTGAGGACAGAAAGGGATAATGTGAAAATGAGCTGTTAAAAGTTATATAATACAAAATCAAAGATCTCAGAGTTGAAAGAAACCTTAGAAGTCATGAATTCTAACTCTGTAAAACAGACTAAAGTGACTCCCTCTTATACCCAAGATGGACTAACAGAGGCCAGATTTACTTGCATGCTTGAAACAACAAAAAACAAAAACAAATACCCTTTCCCCGCCGAAGCCCTAAAATATGAAACAACAGTTTTTTCAAGATACTCAACATCAGGTAACAAAGAACACTGATCCCCAGAGAAGCAAGAAACAAGTGGCTGCCCAGCTTACTGCCTTAGTTTCTAAGCCATACAGGGAGGGAAAACTAAGTAGAGCCCAGCAGATTCCCTGAGTTGATGGGACAGAGGTGATAGTCTGAGGAAATTAACACAGCCAGGGTTCAAAGGAAATAGCACCAGAGAGGAGAGAGCTGTACAGAGAGAGAACTCCAGAGAGCTGAAGAAGACACCCTCTAGGTATTCAGCAGAGCATTGATTAGCGAAGGCTCATGAGGAAACTAACAGCTAAGGAAAGGACCACACAAAAAATGAGAGGGCACAGAACCAACCATTCACACAGGGCCAGGAATGTGCATGTTTCCACCAGACAGACTGAAAAACCTCAAATTCAGGACATTGGGTAGAGGACTCAAAAAAAGTCTTGGCTCAGAGTGGGAAATAATCAGCTCTAGACTAAACATGGCTCTGGTCCTGTCAACAAATCTTAAAAGCAAAACCTAAAAGGATCAAATTGTTTCCAAGTAACAGTACAATAAGCCTCAAGAATATTTATAGGAATATAAAAATATCCAGTACTCAACAAAATAAAATTCACAATATCTGACATTCAAACAAAAATTACCAGGCATAAAGAAAAACATGACCATAATGAGAAAAACCAATAATTAAAACTGACCTAGAAATGACACAGATGTGGGAATTTGCAGAAAAGGACATTAAAACAGTTATTTATAACTATATTTAAAAAAATT